GGCTCCCGTCCTGGGCCCTCGCACCTCGGCCTCGCGGGACGGCACCCGCCTGCCCTGGGTAAGGGTGCCACATCCCTGTTGGGCGCCTTGCGCCACTGTGGTTTCGTGTGGCATGAAGTCTTCGGAGAGATGTGCTGTAAAGCCGTCGAGGCACAAAAGAGGGCTCCATCCAGGGCTAAAATTTATTGGATGTGTTTTCGGGGACCACGTGTGTTCAAGCAATGATGTAATGCATTGTGTGAACACCCCTGCTAGGCTTTGGGTGTTAGCTTCTATGGCAGCTGTTCAAATTATCTAGAAAGGAGGTGAAAATAACCATCAGGTTTTGTAATAAAACACACGTCCTGCTTGTCATCACTTTCACACTTAGTTGCCTTTCGGCGTAAACTCTGACTTCATTAGGATTCAAAGGCTGTTGCCGCTGCTGCACAGCAGATTGAATGCCTAACTGCTCCTCTGACACCGTGGTCGTCCCTGGCCTTTGGGGTTTGTATTTCCTTGCAACTTGGATTGGCAAGGGATGCGCCAGCCTTTGGCGGTCCAGTTGTTGCCCTCTTCCCAAATTCCCTGTGCACTGCGCCCGGTGTGCTGGGTAATCTTACATTAAATGGGGAAAAAACCAAAAAGCTTTTTTGTCAAGGTCAGTGTGTTTGTATGCGGAATGTAAGAAGTAGTTGGCGACCCTTGGGAACTTGCTTTTGTGTTGACAGGTAAACACTGATTATTCGTCAATTTCTTCTTTGGACATACTGTCCCATTATGTGGCGTTAGGGAGCTGTGATGAAAGAAGGAAACAGTGTGAGATTTGTTCGTTTAGGTGAACAAGCTGCTGTAAATACCTTCACTTGATCTCATCCCCTTTGTTGAATAATCCTCCTGCTAATTTTTCTCAGTCGGCAAGGAAGGTACTCCTCTCCTTTTCTGCTCTCATGCCTAGCTGCCAATCTGCGAGAGCGAGTTCACTTCAACAGGCTTTTCCTACCAGTATTGATACTTTCCCCTTGAATTCTGCCAAACCAAGCACAGCTCTAGCAGAGTTGCCAGGGGAAGAAACTCCAAAGGCAGAGTGTTCCTAAATGCTGTGTCTGTAACTGCTCCGTGTCCATTTGGTCAGGATGCCATCGGTCCTGGTAGCTGTATTAACTCCCTGATCTTGGCTAGAGGCATATTCAGTCGCTCTATGTCTTTGTTTTGTGAACGAGTGAAATAAGATAGTTGGGTGCGTTTTAGAACTTGTGTTAAAGGCACTATATCCAGAGAGACGGAAACATGCATTTGGATACAATATTCTTGCTTGCAGGTACAGCTGCACCAGCAGATATGCTCCCTGCAAAGACATTCCCAGCACAGCAAAGCGTGGGAGATGCTGAGGTTGTCATTCTGAGGCTGAAGACAGTCCTGTGTCTCCTGCCTGGTGAGTCTCCGCAGTCCTCATACGCGCTCTGTGGTCTTTCCCAGATGTTTTTTTTGCCAGTCAAAAGCGTGGTGACTGGGAGCGAACACCCTGAGTCGTAGTATTATAGGATGGCCGCAAGGGTTCTTCTCATGAGATTTAGTGACTGTGTAACAATGTTAAATCATAGGAATTGCTTTTTGCAATTTGTCTTATAAACTCCTCAGAAATTGGTAGGCCTTTCTCTTTCCAGAGGCTATGCCCACGTGAGTCGGTTATGTAGGAATGGGATCAGAATGAGTGTAGCACAAACATTTGAAGAAGGTTGTGCTGGAGAAGAGCAAGGGAATTTTTCTGGATGATCCCCTACATGACAGATGGGCCATCTGGTTGGTTGTGAAATACAGCAGAATTATGCAAAAGAAGTCCCAGGAAAAAAGAAAACTAGGGGTTTGGGCTGTGGGGGACATAACGTTTGTTTGGGAGTTTTGTCTGTTTTGTTATGTTTTGGGGAGTTTTCTTTATGGTTGGGTTTTTTGCCCTGCTGCAGGGGAGCTGCGTTGTTTATTCTGTTAAGGCGTTCTCACTCAGATTAAAACTGGGGAAATGAAGGAGGAGAAATTTAAGAATACAAAAAATCAGTCTCTGTTCACAGCTTAGGAAAAGGTCACAGAACAAGAAAGCCAGTGGAAATATTCCCAGTGCACACATCTGGGGCTGTGCTGCAGGTCTGTTGCAGCCCCAATTACAGTGAAAGTCCCAGAAGACTCTTCAGTGAAACGTTAACGTGACCTTGACATTGTTCAAATCCTTTCCGTGCAGGTGGTGTTGGGAAACACCCTTGCTTACACGGAGAACTAAGAAAAGGTCATAGGGGTTTCATGAGGAGGTAGGCACATCAGCATGAGTTAGTAAATACTGTGTGAAATATTATCTGAAATGGGATTTAGGGGAAGCTAATGGAAAGATAAGTTCCCATCTGCAATAAGGCTTTTTTTTTTTACTCTGTCCTCCTGCTGATGCTAAAACATGGAGCCTGTGGTCCAACCACTAATATCTTCATCCAGTTCTCTGTTTTCTGTCAATAATCCTGAGTGCTCACTGCAACATCAGTTTTTGTTTGAAGTCCGTTCTAACTTATTCTGGCCTGTGTTTGTAAATGCCAAATCCAACATCTCTGCGGAGCAAGACGTGAATGTCTGGATAACCAGCTAGGGCATCTTATGGTGTCAGTTGAACTTTCCAGTCAGTGTCAGCTGGAGGATTCAGAGGAATGCTGCCAACTTAAAATTGACTTAATTCTGGAAATATCATTAGATCAGGTAACACAGAGTTGAAAAAATGAAAAAAAAAAAATTATTTTTTTTAAAAAAAGATCAAAAGTTAGTATATTAGAATTGTGTGGTTTAACACTTGTGAATGGTCATTTTTACCATTTCTCCTGTGAGTTTAGCCAGTTTCCCCTGTTGAAAAAGTTCCTCGTAAATACAGCAAAGTGCATTGCTTAGGATAAAGGAAACCTTGCGCAGCGAGAGGCACCAGTATTTTTGAATTAAAAACCTATAAGAGCTAGAATAAGGTAATGTATGCAGCTGTTTAGCAGACATGAGTAACAGTTGAAAACAATGTATGTTGTTTAGCTGTAGTTATGCTGATGGCAAATAGAAAAACTGGAAAACACTGAAAGTAGAATGGTTCAGAAAGAAAAAAATTAATTGAGACTTTCCAGGGGTGTAGTTCAGAAACAACTTAGTCACAAAGATGCCAGCACAAATATTCGTTGCTTTTTATAGAATAATTCTTATTATCCCTGTACGTGTTTACTCGCTATTAAAAAGATAAGTTGTGTGAATAATACCCGGTTCCCATATATGGAGTAAGATAATTTTATGTGAGGTAATAAAAGAAGGATTCTGCGGGGAGGCAGAAATGCACCTGTGCTCTTGTCACCCTAGCCGCTCTCTGCGGGGTGCTCGTTAGTGGGTGCTCTTCCTTGGAGCTTCAGGTAAGCTGTGTAAGGTTGTTTCCCCCCCTAACAGACTAATTACCTGTGAGTGCTCCTTGAAGGGACTTTTCAGCTGTAGATTAGATTATTTATTTTCTCACACACGTATTTTCTGTCTTGGTTATCCCATGCCTTGTTGTCATTGTAATGCTTAAGCCTTGCGTATTGTCTTTGCAGTGTGTTGCTGTCTGCTTTTTCACTGTTGCTTGTTTAAAACTTTAACTAAAGTTCTTTCACCTGTTGCTGTGAGAACCTGTTTACTTTGGGATAAGTGGTTTAAACGGTCACAATTCCCAGCTCAGAGTGGAGAAGGTAGGATGAAAACACTAACTGTTCCTGCATTAATACCAGTACTACGAAGAACTCCTTAAAGTAACAATGTAAATATTTATGTTTTCCAGCTGTAGTTGTTGAAGAACGAATGTATTCTTTCAGACTTTAATTGATTCCCCAAGATGTTTGCAAAAGCAACAAAGAATTTTGTGAGAGACGCTGACGGTGGGGGTGACTTGATCCCTGTCGCCCACTTGAACGCCTCAGACAAGCTGCAGCTTCTGGGCTTAGTCACAAAGAGGAAGAAATTCTGGTGCTGGCAGAAGCCCAAGTATCACTTCTTGACCGTCACCCTGAGTGATGTGCTTACTGAAGACAAACCCATAAAACCAGGTAAAGCCATACTAGGGCAGTGCTGTGGGTGCAGATTAAAGGAATGCAAAGCCTAATCTTTTTTTGTTTTTCTCAGTTGTGTTACTAGAGGGCTTCTTTCAGGGGAATGCTCTGAAGTATTCACCACCTGTGGAAAGGAGATGACTGGATCTTTTCTCACTTGACTACTCATTTAACTTAACCCAGTAATAATCAATGTTTGTTTAAAAAAAAAAAAAAAAGTTTTACCTAGATAGACTATGGAAATTGAGTGCTGAAGGTTGTCAGGCCATACAGTCCTACTGTGGAAGCAGCCACAGGAGCTCCCCTAAATATTTTTGGGGGATTCGAGTATGTGGTAGTAGTGTGAAACTCTGTTTATGCAGTGCTTTTTGACCTGGAGCACAGCAGTGTCTTGTTGGTGATAGTAGCCCAGGGAATGCTTGCGCAGGCAAGGCCAAGCAAGTTTTACCACTGCTTCCCCCCTTCTTGCACTGACTGTTAAATATGGTTGACCCTTGTACTTGGTTTTTCACCCAGCTACGGCAGTCCTAGCCAGGTTTTAGGGCTAACAATCTGGATTCCCATATTTCTGGGCGTGTCACAATTCCATACAAGAGAATAGGTAAGTCCTTAAATTTAGGTACTAGTTGTAGCTGGCTTGAATGATTAGCTGATTCTGAGCCAGTTCTTTGGTTTATAGCTGTATAAGAGTTGGAGTTAGATGCTTCCACTGTTTTTCAGTGAGCTTTGGGACAGCCCTGTAGTGGGATATATCAAGATAATGGTTAATGTCAACATTAACCCTGTTGCACAAGCAGGTCTGCTCTCTAGTTTGTAGCCAAAATAAATCTCCATCGTTATTTATGCATCTTCCATGGCATCCGAGCTCAGCGTTTCTATCACCTCATGTTTTCTTACCATGGCAAAATATGAAAGATAGCAGAGCGAAGATGATGGAAGTAGGAGGGAAGCAGCAGTAAGAGTTGCAGAGCTGTACATTTCATTATGTACTTGCTCCTTACTGTTTCTTGCCTTCACCAACTTGCCATGTTGTCTGTAAGTTTCTGTTTTTCCAATCACTTCATGACCTTTTCAGCACTTGCCCTTCACAGGTAGAAATTATTTTTCTTGCTTTCCTAGTGATTGTGGAGTCTGACTTTGCAAAATATATTGGGAAGTTTGAAGATTTTGTTCAAGGATGTGTTGAAACTTCATTTGGAAAGATCAGCCTGGGAGCTGGAGGGAAGGGCTACGTGGAAAACCAGTCCTCATTTGGAAACCTGAGGAAGCAGGAGATTGACTTGCAGCAGCTCATGAAAGATGTCAAAGACAGGTATATTTTTAATGTGGGCATTGTAATGGCTGGGAAAGATTATGGAGCTGGAAAGATCCGGGCCAGCTCTGATCACTGAACAACTGCTTCTGTACTATTGCCATAGTTTGAGAATTATGTTTATTGTAAGCTGTCATTTTTTGGTGATAAAATTCTATACACCCAAATGAAAATGTGCAGCTTTTCAGAGCTCAATGGTCAAACCTTTCCCTTTCATCTTAAAAACAGTTCTCTGCAATTTCATCTTACATATTTGAATGAATTACCATGTGGAACAAGGGTCAAATCCTTCTCTGGGGGACTGTACTGAGGTAACCGTCTGGGGAAAAAAAAAATGGATTGGTTTCTCTGTTCCTGGGGCAAGTGCTGTGGAAGTTGAATTCAGAGCTACCAGTATTCTAAGCATGCTTTGTAGTGTGTGCATGTGTGCGCAACTGTGCTAGACAATGGGATTATTTGAAGCTGGAGGAGTAGTAAAGGTGAGCAACCATGGTCAATGTGTGTTCTAGTAGTTGAACAAAGTACAGTTTGTAGAGCTATTGCTCACTGTTACACGCTGTACTGAGGGGAAAACCTCAGATTTTCCTAACTATAATCCTAATCTTACAAGATATGTGAGACTTCCTGTCCTGCTCTGAAATGAGGTTGAATCAATCTTGCAGTAAGCCAGGCATGGACCAAAGCCTACTTGGGCAACCAGCTGGCAGGTCAGAGGTCTGCTCTGTATTGCAGGCCCTGCCTTGTGGGAGATGAGGGTGGTTGGTTTGGTTTGTGACAGCGTTGTGGAATGCTGCTGCAGATCCCTAGATTTGACAGAGGTGGTGTAATACATTTTAACAGCCTTTGCTGACGCTCTGAAGGTAAGGGTTATAGGTTTTTGTTATCACTGCGTAAGTTGTCAGAAGCAGTGTAAATTTTCTTTAGATATGCTGATTCTAGAAATAATCGATTCTCCATCTTCACAGGAACAAGTGGCTGCTGTTCTTTTTATCATGACCATTCACAAGTCAGCAAACTTACTGTGCTAAGGCACCTTGCTATCTTTGTAATAAAGGGCTTATTAAAAGCAGAGGGTGCTGGGCTAAATGTGTGTGCCAGGCCTGTAAAGTTTAGTATGCATCTCCTATCAGAAGAAGTGTCAGTCAAGATTTCACAGAATCATAGAATGGTTTGGGTTGGAAGGGACCTTAAAAACCATCTAGTTCCAAGCCTCCTGCCATGGGAGGGACACCTTCCACTAGAACAGGTTGCTCAGAGCCTCATTGAGCCTGGCCCTGAAGAACAAAACATTTAGAGTTTTGTTTCTAATGCTGGGTGGAGTCCTACAGAAAACCAATAAAGAGTAACTTCTGTTTAGATCAGTAAGCTTTTACTAGTTTTTCTGCAGTAAGTTAGCTACGAACAGATACTCCTCCCATAGCAAATCAGACTTACTTCAGCACAGGTTGTAACGCTGAATGAAACTAAATACTTACAAAAATATACTGTCGTCTTTTGGATGTGGAAAATCCGCAGCTCTATGCTGAGCTGAATGAACTAACCAACCTATAAATGAGTTTAAAGTGTGTGCCCCTTCATCTAAGAACTGCCTCTCTGAATACTCATTAAGGCTTATGATGCAAAGTGTATAATTGATGTCCAGCCACTCTGTCTTCTGCCAGGTGACTGAAAATGGTGAGGAAAGCGTAAAGTTTATTTTCTTCAGCATAATGCTGAGGCTCACTGGAAACCATGGCAATACCTTACAAATGAAATCCATTGTTATTCATTCATAAGTATTCTGTGATTTATGATGTGTGCAAGCTTCTAGCTTTTGTTTTGTTCATGGAGCATTGTGTGGAATTCAGGAATTTGGCGCTTGGGAGTGCTGGTGCCTAGAAGTTAGTGACTTTTGGATGCATAGTATGATGGTAGTAAGAGGATGTTTACCTATATGTCCTTGAGACGAGAGTCAGCTAACTGTTCTTGATTTCATCTAGTGACACATGTTGCTTGTGCTTGTTAGATGAAATTGTTTCATTTGTTATTTCTATATATATGGCCTAATTAAGTTATAGTTGAAAATGTTGTTCTTGTATTAGATTGTTTCAGTCACAGTTGCAGATAAATAGCAAAGACTCAAAAAAAAAAAAAATAGTTAAAGCTGATATGGCTTCTAAACGAGGTCTTCAAGGTTCAGCAAGCTGGAACTGCTGAGTGGCAGCAAATCGGTTTCCTGTCACTTCTTAAGTGAACCTTCTGAAGGAGAACCCTACTGATCTTCTAATTAGATTCCAGGTGCCACATTGGCTCCCCTTCTCTGAAAGGGGATGGCAGCTGAAGGATGTGGGATGACATCCTTCTGGATTTGCAGAGGCAATGACATTTTAAGTGCAGAACACACTTCTTAGTATGTGGTATAAAAATAAAGTGAAATAGTACTTTTAGATAGGTAAACTCAGCATATTTCATTTTGTTATTCTTGCTTTTTGTATTACACTGTGCTTGCTAATTCAGGGTACTGTAACATACTGATTTTAGGTCAGGGTCCTACACCTGTAACTCTGTGAGATTGCTGTGCATTTAAGAGTATATTCCATCTTCTATTTTAAGGCTTTCAATACTGTCTGCCCTAAGATCCTCATGGAGAAGCTGATGAAGTGTGGGCTGGGTGAGCAGACAGGTGGATTGAAAACTGTGGAATGGCTGGGCCCTAGTGCTCAGTGGTACAAAGTCTCGTTGGAGGCCCCAGGGGACAGTACTGAGTCCAGTCCTGTTTAACATCTTTGTTAGTCACCTGTGTAGTGGGGTCGATGAGAGTCCCCTCAGCAAGTTTGCCGGTGACCCAGAACTGGGAGGAGTGGCTGATAGACCAGGGGGTTGTGTCCCCATCCAGAGGGGCCAGCACAGGTTGCCAAGAGATGCTCTGAAGTCCCCCTCCTTGGAAACATGGCCCTAGGCAGCCTGCTCTGGGTGGCCCTGCCTGAGCAGGAGTTGGACCAAGATGACCTTCCACCCTCAGCCACTCTGTATTCTCCCCTCCAGTGAAAAGGGTTGTGAGACGTTATAATCTCTGTAGTTCTCATGGATTAACAAATTCCCTTGTTTGTTTTTACTACGTCGTTAAGTTGTGTTGGGTGAGTGAAATCCAGGTTCTGAGAGGACAGTGGCAGCAGAGGGGAAGAAACAGGACCATGTGGCAGCGGTTAGTCTGTCCACACCAGCTGCAGAAAGGTTTGCCTGTCACACTCCCATCACTTCATGTGCATGATTCCTAACTCTGTGGTTAGCATGTCAGAGAAACAGGCTGTCAGCAGTACTATGCTCCGGTGTTAAAAGATATTTGTACATTATTGCATATTGCACTTTAATACGCACTTTCATTGATTCAGTTATCGTCCACGCTGAGATGAAAATAGGTGCCTATTCCTAATGTGAGTACAGTGGAAATTCAGCCCATTTTGTTGTTTAGTCTTTAAAACTCCTTGAGCATTTACGCGTGTGACAAGAAAACCATCCAGTCTTCTTCCAAAGGTGCTCCATGGGTAATATGAAGTCACAGAATTTTATGAGACAGGATTGAATAAAATCAGCTGCGTGTGTCTGTGACTGGAAAATAGAGGAACTCGCTGTCCTTGCACTCTGAAAAGCCCTTGGCATTCTTGGGGAAGATGTTCTGTGAAGTAATTGTCAGGTTATTCTTTAGGGAGAATGGTGAAGTGCGATCAGTAAGCTGACTAGGGCAGATGCCATGTTCGGGTGTGACTGTAAGGTGGGTCGGAGAGGTTGTATTTGAAACAGATAATAAAAGAAACCCTGTGTGTCTGTGCTTCGTGGAAAGTTGGAGAGTGAGGTGTAGCGGATGCTACGCCATGGCACTCATCTGGTGGCCTCCGTTGCAGAGGGAAGGAAGCTGGGGGAAGGCTCTTGCTGTGCAGCAAGCAGCATTTGCACGGGAGACATCAGACTGCTGTGTGTTATGAATGAGGCGGAGGAGACAATGAGCTGAGGAACACTGGCCGAGCGAGAGAGGTCATGTGGATGTAGGGAAGAAGTGGCATTTGGGCAAGGCTGCGAGACTGGGCCACCCACACGTCTGCAGCTGGGCGTGGGGGTGTGTTGAGCAGACACTGCCCAGTGCGAGACTGGAAAGGGTTTTCACTCATGGGTACTTCGGGGCTAGTGAAGGTTTGTGCAGGTGGGCAACAGTGCAGACTTCAACATGAGGATGGAGACTACACAAAGCAGTAACTCGTCTTCTGGTATTGGTAGTAAATTGGCAAGCACCTTGCTTTGAGGACTTGTGGAGTGGGTTAAGAAGACTAGACAGGATGTGATGGGGAAAAATGGTCCTAGCCCTGCTCCTTTGTGGGCAGTCTGGTCAGAGATTTTGTGCCCTCAGTCTCAGCTGTAGGGTTTTGAGCAGGCTCCTGCTCTCTCCTTTAACTGTGAGAGCCTGTTCTGTTGCCAGGTGTTGTCTGATTTGTCTTGCTTTCCATTAGTTTCTGCCTTTCTCCCTTCTTTTCTGCTTACAGTCTGCAGCAAATTGCCTGTGTGCCTCTATTCTCCACTGCTTTCTTCATGCAAGAAGAATAATGCTGAATAAAAGTGAAGGAAGCCTTTGCATTATAGGAGATGGAATTGTTTAATCCAATTAAATGTGGAGAGAGTGAGACCAAAAATCAAAGAAATCCTTTTCTGTTTATGTTTGACCTGTAGAGCTTCCAACTTAGTAAATAATTGACATCAGGAAGGTTATTTAAGCAGAACAAACAATCAAAAAACCATAATCCTTATCTCTTAAATGATCTTTATTCCTGCAGGCTCACACCCTGTTTGATGATAATGGGACTTAGCAAACCAACATCTCATTGTATTTTATGTACTGTTAGTTTTGAGTACTTCAGCTCAGATTCCTAAGGTGGGAAAAGAGTACAGTGATCCAGTGTAGGTCACACAACATTGGCGAGGCATCCTGTACAGTAGATGATGAGAAAGAAGGTAAGAGTGGTGGTTGTATAATAGGAATAAAAGCTCTGAAATGTGACCTGGAAACCAAAAAAAAAAAAAAAAAGAAAAGGAATGCAATTCCTGTGCCTGCATGTGTGTCTCAGGGTTTAACCCAGCCATCTCTTGCCACTCAGGTGTCGTCTTGATGGTCAGTGTTATGCTAGCAAATGAGTTCAGCTCTTTCAAAAATACACCCACAGACTTAGCAGCCATTGCCCTGCAATACTTTAAGCCCTGCTCTGACAGTCAGACTGTAACCCTGTTGCATTTTGCTCCTGGTATCTAAATTATCACTGATAACAGCTAAGACAGGTATTTGCTTACCTCATGTTGTCTCCTGTTGGAGTCGCTGAGAAGAGCAGAATGTTTTGCCTTCCACAGGCTCTGCCCTGGTGATAACCTGCAATGTGCCCACACCCAACCCTAGAGTCTATGGGGTTTTATGACCCAGTTCAGCGGCAGCAGTCTAGAGGAGAGCATTTAACTGTGCTGCCCTAAAAGAAAAGAGTGCCGTTGGTAAGGGTACGTGTTACGTGAGAGCGCTTCTGCAGACTTTACAGTTGAACACATCCCACTGAAGACACTTGAATCTCGGGGCTCAGGGTGGGGCCGTGTCTCTGCCACACAGCGCAGCTCGGTGCCCGTACGGTGTTAATGTTACTGCGTGGTCTCCAGCGCTGCCTCAGACTCCTCCGCTGCGCCTGGCTGCAGGTTTACCTGTGTCTTCTGGTTCTTCCGCTCTGCCTCTCCACTGTTGGTTCTGTGGCTGAACCTCAAAGCCAGGAGTGTGAGGGGGTCTGGGCCAGGCCCACCTCGGGCAGAATGCTGTAGGGGTAGATGGAAGAAAGTCTCTTGAATTATTTTGGTCATTCATTTGTATGGAGTTAACGTAAGAAGTGTATAGAATACTATTAACACTCATTGAGAAGCAGAAAATCTCTATTTAATCTGTATTTTACTACCTTTGAATTGTTTCTTTTGCTCTAACTTTCGGGGATATCTGGTGAGTGTGTCATCCTCTGTAGCTGGCAAAAAAAAAATGCATCGTACGAAAGCAAATGACACTCTGCTTTTTGTCTTCTCAGGTCTAATGTTAAAACTGCAAGTTTTTAGTGCCTTAATTTGTGTTTTCAAGAGGCTTAGACCACCTCTTCCGAATCCTAAATAAGTGTTGTGAAGTACATGCTAGGCTCGATGGTCTGTTACTGTGATAACAAATGGCTGTGGTTTGGCAGACACTAAGGGCAGCGGTGTCTGTGATTGCTTGACATCTCCTCAATTTTTGCTTAAATCAAAGATTCATTGCATTCCAGTGCATGGCTTTGCCCGAAAAGAAAAGAAAGTTATATTAATAATCTCAGGAATGTTTGGGGTGCTTTTCTAGTGGCTGCTGCATTGCTTCAGAGGTATTCTGTTTCCCTTGTTTAAACAATCAACTTTAAGGTTTTCAGACAGTTCATTCCAACTGATTGAACTTTCATATAAGCATGTAACTCTCCAAAGATCAAAAATTGCCTCAGGTTATTTTTAATTTAATGAAGAACCAAGCTGTCTTCAGACTTACACAGACTGCATAAATCCAAAACTCCAGAATCTAATAAATCTAAGACTTTTTAATTAAAAGTGGAGATATCTGGATTTAAATAAAGTGGGGTCAGACATGTCTTTCTGTCACATTTTTGGGGAATTGCCATTTAGCCCTGTGAATAGCCATTTACAGTAAAAGGGAGGAGGACAGGCTGAATGAGTTGAGCCAGGGATAGCAATCTTTTGATCTTCCAACTGTCTTGCTGGAGTTATCTGTGCATAGAAAATACATGTCCTCTGAGGACCTCCAATGGGTATTTTGCAAAAGTGGGATATAATTGGCACATTTTAATAAATCAAATACAGTTAAGAAGTTGCTTTAACTGTTACCAGAAAGACTGTTAACACCTCAGAAGACAGGGTGGTGCATTTGGTCGTCTTTTCTTAGGAAACTAATCAAATAATAATAAAATAATTCTTGTTCTTTATGGGAGTTCACTTTCTTACTTCTGGTCATTCTAAGGAGTACCTGGCTCTACGCATAACTCCAGCAGCATTCAAGCACACACTGAACCCTGTTGTGGAGTAGGGATGAGTTGTTAAGTTGAAGGCATGGGCTAGAGTCCCTCCTGTAATTATCCTTTTGACTGTAACAGTCATCTTTAATTGTAAATTGTGAGGTTATACAGATGAGTAACACAGGAGCTTATAGCGGGTGATTTAAAAACTTCTTTTCCAACCCTAAAATCCGTGATACATTTTCTCTTCTCTGGTCCAGCCCTTTGAAGTAGTGCTGGTCCCACTCAGCCAGGTCAGGGTTAAAGTGAACAAGTGATCAAGCTGTGAGGGTTGACATTCAGGTGTTGCTCTCTGCGTGCTGGTCATCCCTCGAGGAGGGATTCTGGTGACTCAGAATCTGCCAAAAATTGGCAGATTTTGTCAGGGCACTCCTTTTGCCTCCACATGGGCCTTCAGAGGTCAAACCAGCATTCCTAGTGATGGTCGCCTCAAGCTGTCCTTGTCCGTCTTGAACTGAGGAGGCCAGAACTGGACACAGCACTCCAGGTGAGGCCTCAGCAGCGCAGAGTAGAGGGGGAGGATAACTTCCCTCAGCCTGCTGACCACGTTTTTCTGAACGCATCCCAGGATGCCATTGGCCTTCCTGGCCGCGAGGGCACACTGTTGGCTCATGGTCATCCTGTTGTCGACTAGGATTCCAAGGTCCTTTTCCCCAGAGCTGCCCTCCAACAGATCAGTCCCCAACCTGTACTGATACATTACACTGAAACTTAAAGTTGTCGTTAGTTCCCCCTTGCTTTTTTTGCTTAGAATGTAGCCAGACAATGGCCATTTTTGCTCAGAGTGAGGCATCCAGGATTCAATATGTGTTGGGACTCGCAGTGTAATACAGATATTTACTGCTACCAAGTAACAAAAGGGGACATGATGGTTTTGAGGAGACTACTCATACAGAAATAATCGTTGTTTTTACGATAAAAGCTTCTTCAAGCAATTAAGAAAATTATTTTTCTCAGTTCTAGTATTTATGTTGTTAATGGCGTCGTTTCTTTTCCAGAACAATAAATCTAAACAGTAGTTTACTGCAGCAAATAATGGAAAGAAAACGTGAAGTGCTCTGCATCTTGAGAGAAAAGATAATAACGACTCAGAAGTGTACGATATCTGAACATATCCAGACAGAAGAAAAAATCAGCGGTGCGGTGGGCTGCAGTGCAAAAATAGTAAAGGTAAAAGTTAAAGATCTGCAAGGAATTGCAGATTATCTGAGAAGAAATTACGGTTTCTCCAAACAGACTTCAGAGTGTTTTTCATGCTTCCTTAACATGTTGAACTCGCTGCACTGCTTAGTTGTGAAACCTCAGAAAGGTAACGTGTGTTTTCCCTTGCCTCACTGGCAAAAGATGCCACCTTTTAGTGTGAGCCTGGAACGTGGTTTCCATCAATACTGTCGAACTGTGATTCAGTTTCTGTGTAGGTTCCTGCCTGCAGCAGAACATAAACCAAACATATGACAATTCAGTGGAGGTTGAAGAGCAAAAAGCATTGCTGAAGCAAATTTATTTGAAAACCATTCATCACAAATGTTTGTACTGTCTACTGAGCTTCAATATTTATTGAGATGCTATTTGTTTTCACTTGTGGGAGTAGAGATCAACTGCATTATGAAGATATCTGAAAAATTGCCTGTTAATTGAGAAGGAATTACCAAAGGCACAACATACGCTCGTTCACTGTAAGCTTTGGGGTTGTTTTCATAGCTGCAGGTGAATCACTTTTGTGTACAGGGAGTCTCCAGTAGCAGAAATCGGGGGGTTGCAGTTCAGCAACCCTCTGTGCAGTGCCACCTTCCTGATAGCAGCCTCCAGCTGGACAGCAGGGTTGTCAGGACAGAAGGCGGCAGGGCAGGATACTGAAGTGGGAGGTTTCCTACTGCTGCGGTGTTTCAGGGGTAAGAAAAGCTGCGCCCGGAGCTCAACTCTGTACTCGGACAGGGTAGCTAAGAGTTTGGCACTGTGCTTCTACCTCACTGCTCATCTTGTTCCTTCCATAGATGTCAAATGTAACATGTGCTTTAGTTAGACATCGTGGGGAATAAAGCACATACTTTCTCTGTGTTTTTTTCCCTTTAATTCTGTGTTTAAGCCACACAACAGCTGACTTGGATAAACAGTGAATAAATCCATCCTCTAGGTTTCAGTGAGTGAAGATGGAAGTATGATGAAGGATTCTAGTGTGATCCTTGAAATTCCTCCTGCAACCACCATTGCCTACGGTGTAATTGAACTGTTTATAAAGCACAGTGGCCAGTTTGGTAAGTATAAAGCTCTTTTTGTGTAGCACACCGTTCAGCTGTGGACAGAGCTGTCTGTTGGGCAGTGACTTGCACTGTGTGTGAAGGCCGTGATATATGGTCTCCATTGCCTTGGTGGTGATTTGTGCTGTGAAATGCTGCTCTTCTGACTTAGTAATGCTTTTTCACTTGTTGGCATGAATCATAAAATCAGAATAATTCAGGTTTCGGGGGACTGCGAGGAGGTTATCTAGCTCAAGCCCCCGCTCAAGACAGGGACAACTTTTGAAGTGTGATCAAAGTTCAGAGTTAGATGAGATTGCTCGTATCCTTGTCTACTCAAATTCTGAGTATCTCCTGTCACCCCCCTGGGCAGCCTGTTCTCGTGTTTGACCACCATCATGGTGAGCTTTTCTTTCTTTCTCAGCATGTAGTGAGGATTTCCTTTTTTTTAACTTCCGTCTCTTGCCTCTGATCATGTCGTCATGTCGAAGAGCGGCTCTGTCTTCTCTCCGCACTTCCGTCGAGTGGCTGTAGGTGGCAATAAGGCTCTCCCTTAGCAATATTTTCTCCAAGCTGGACAAACCCAATCTCAGCTTCTCCTACATGATGTTTGCTGGCCCGCAGCCATCTTGGTGGCTGGTTGCTAGATTGCTCCAGTGTGTAAATCTCTGTCTTGTACTGGGGAGTCCAGAACCAGACACGGCACTCTTGGTGCAGTCTCCCAAACTGAAAAATCCCTTTCATTGATCTGCTAGCTACGCTCCTGTCAGTACAGCCCTCTGTGCAGCAAACTTCAGTGGCTGCAAGGGCACGCTGCTGATCCTCTCCAATATGTTGTCCAGGTCTTTTTCCGCAATCTTGCTTCTAGCTAGCTGGCTGTCAGCCCGTGCTGTTGCCCTCACCTGTTTGGCAGGGAGAGTGAAGGGAATATAAATTGATAGTCAACGAGGAACACTTAGACAATAGTCTGGGTAAGAAAAGAATTATTCTTAAAGTATAGGACTGGAATTTAAACTTCCCTATCTATTGTACACTTTCATGTAGAGATTGTTCTCAGAATGGTTGCAGAAATGACCTTGTCATGTTTTCTGGTCATGCTTTACTTATGTCAGGTCGAATACTTTCGAGTGTCAAGTTAAAAAAAAGTTGAAATAGGCTTTGGGGGGTGTAGTAACTCTACAGAAATACCTGGCTTTTTCTGTCTTGTCTATCCTCAGTTAAACTCCATGACCTAAAAGAGGTTTCAGGGGATGTTATGCAAGAAGGGAGGAAATCAGATGTACTGTGTAGAGCTGGGAGTTGCAAAGGACTGATGTGGAAAGAAACAGGGGATACAGTGAAGAAATAATTTAAGTGCAGTTGAGATTTGAATTCAGGATGCACTTTATTTGGTTGAGAAATGCAGAAAGCACTCTCCATCTTTCTCCTTCAACTGACTTTTGATAGCAAGGAAGTCTGTAGGTTCAGGAATACAAGTAAATATCGTGTAACCTGTAAAGAAAAAATCTCAAATTCTCGTCACAGATAATTATGGAATAAGGTGCCTGTCAGTGTGTGTTTATTTGCTTCTTTTTCATTGCCATTGATAGTGCTCGAGTCACTCTGTGAGGAATTGGTATGTAAGCTTTCTTTAAAATGTTCTGGCTAATGTGACTGGACATGCTTGGACATTTTTATAAATAAACAAAAAAAAGAAAGAAAAAAAAAAGGTCTAATCCTTTTCTGATCCCTTTACTGTAATGTTTTCCTGCAGTCGTTCTGTTTGATTTCTACAGGCTAATTTTCCACTACATGTAAAACCTGTTCCTGTTAAAGGCTTTGCAGTTTTGGGTCTGTTTTGCCTTTGTTTTCATTGATCATCTCTGGTTTTCTTCCATTTCTGTTAATGTTTCCCAACAACTAACAAGATCTGACTGCGCTAGTGGAGGTTTGTCATCGATGGATGTAATGGAATTCCACAGAGAAAATACCACATAAGTATTATGGATATTCTTTCATTTGCTTATTTTTTTCTTTTTTTTTTTTTTGAATAAGACAAAATTAATGAGATCAAAAAATTAACTCTTTGAGGCCTGTATTTTCCTCTCAGTTGAGTCCTATTTTAAGATTTAACAGCAGGATCTGTATCTCAGAACTTTCCATGGGATGCTCTCTATTGCTTTCCCTTACTAGCATCATTCTGCCGCAGAAGGGCAGGTGCTTTTAGCACCATCTTCCTCCATCAGGGTTCGCGTGAAAGCCCTGCTGTTAGCCATGGGAGTAACGTCAGCGTGTAGGCCTCTGGCACCTTAGTGGCTCTCCAGAGTCTCATTGCTTTGGGAAGTTCTTTATTTTTTGTTAATCGTTTTCTACTCCTCTGTAGCTCGCTCTGCTCTGCAAAGGGTTACGCAGGCAGCAAGGCCTGTGTCGTCTGTCTCTGTCTGTGGCAGAGGTTTCTTTGTCTGCTCTCCCTTTGAAAAAGCTTTTTGCTGATGGAGTGCTCTCCGTGCATTCTCATCTGCTTTGAATGTCCTTAATTTGGCCAGACAGACTCTTATAAGTGTAGGAAGGTTATATTTAGGTTTTGTGCCTGGTACATGTGAGCACTGTGCTTGATTACTTACTTTTTTTTTTTTGCCCCCCCCTTTGCTGTCAGATGTTACTGTAAAATTGAGTTGCTCTTGCTAGCCTGCCTGCGAGTGCCAGGGCTACGGTTTCATATCTTGCATTTGAGCAAATAAAAGATGATCAAAATAACACATAGGGCTTTGATTATATTCCACATCTTTGGGGCATGGTATTGGGAGCACGGAACTTGATATTCCAGATTTCTCAGCATCGCTCTTACAGAGGCTCCCTGTGTACCTTCCCGAGCCTCTTAGTGTCACTGAGTTGGAGGCACTGGGGTGGCAGGACATCTGCAGCCCTGCTTGGGTGAGGTAGGCCAGTGCTTGCCACGAAGATGAGGCAGAAGGGGTAATCCAGGTGTTATTTTCTTTGTGAAGCTCTTTCCAAGAGACAGTGTATCGCAGAGCGATTCTGTCAGTGAGCATGCCTGGGTGAAGCCCTTGAGAGGCTCTGAAGAGCGCCCTGTTTTCCACTCATCTGGAGAACTTGGATGGCCCTGTGGCTTGGCTCAGGAAGAGGAGTCTGTGTGTATGACCAGCAGTTCTGTGGGGGACTCTCAGAGTCCTTACGGATCTTGGCAAGTGCTGTGTTGTGCGCTATAGCGCATCCCTTAATTGGTAGAAAACGCGAAGGCTCTGTACCTGCGCGTCTCGTGTGCAGCATTCGGGTTCACAGTGTCGGTGGGCGGATTTGATCTCGCCGTCGGCGTTACTCTATTCGCAGGAGCTGGGGTCACAGTCTGTGTTGGGTAGCTGCACCAGGGGACCTCGGTCTGTGCGCACCGTAGCGAGTGCCAGGGCTGCCGCAGTGCTTGGTAACGGGCGTACCTCGCAACCGCTGGCGTTCCTCCCACCCGGGGAGACGAGACGGGGAGACATCGCATGCGAGAACGCTAGGTAGTATAAGCTAGCATCTCATTTGGCAATTGCTTGTGTATTTCACTAATTGCGTTTTAAACTGAATTTCTGATTACAGAATTCTGTCTGCTAGACGAACAGCAAGGGGGCTTTGAAAAAGAAAGCACGGAAGGCTCGACCTATCCCCCTTCAGCACTCTTCGGAGATGCTCCGTTTCTCTCTCAGCCAGATGCTGTTGATAACGAGGTGTGCGCCGGGGTGAAGAACCTCATTCCCAGTCGTGCTTCTTTAAGCGTCCTGAAACAAGGTATCGCCAGAAGTGCTTGGCAGGGTTGCAGTACGTCAGTTGGGTGACATGGTAGGAGGAAATGATCTGGTACAACAGGACGTAAGAAGTTTTGTTAGTTCATTTTAATAGCCCTGATCAGGAACTCCTGGGGGAATGCAGTGAAAGAGTAGGAAAATGAACTTCTGCAGTTGGTGTATGCAGTGGGCTGTTCCCTAGGAACATCCCAAATCGCTTTGCCATAAATATGATCTTAGGAAATCAGGAGTTTATGCCAGTTCTGTTACATTCCAGATTAAGCTCTGTTAAGATGAGTGGTGATTTATGCTTTCATTCAGAAGGGGCCACTGAAAATATTTCTTCATGATCTGGAAAATGCTCTCAGTAAATCTAAAGGTTATTTTAGGCTCAAAAATTACGGTCATCTCCCCTTCCTTCACTTTGGCTCATTATTTCTGAAAAGCTTTATAGAAATCTTCAGTGTCAACTGAGGCTGACAAACGAAAATGGAAGTTGGCAAATTGGCGTAATGAGCCAGGCACAACTCGTTTGTTGTAGGGATGTAGAAGGAAGGGCAGGATTGTCACCAGAGGAACGGAAAAGAGGAAAGCAAGTCAAGGCCTCAGAACACGCTTTGCTTTCCATCAGCTCTGGGGAGAGTTCTTGCAGCTGGCTGTAATAGCGACCATCGCTTCTGTAATCTCTACATTTCCCCATGTTTGTGGCTGTTCAGTAGAATGACTGTGACCAAAATGGGGATTTGTGGCCTTGAAATCAATTCTGTCATTCTCCAGTGTAGGCTTGTTCAAAAGGAATAACTGTGTCTCCTCCATGCGTGCATAAGAAACGCGGTACGCCTCCGTTGCGGGGGTTCTTGTGGTTTAGCTTGACGAACCTTTGTGCTGTTCTTGCTGAAAAAGCTTGGAGGTTTCTTTTCATTAATTAACCTGATCGATCTCTCGGGGGGAAAAAAACCTAAAAATGTTTCTATTAGAGCAATTTAAAGTAGGTTTCCTCTTCTGTTATTTGTGTAGACAGTCATATGACTGCCTCAGGTACAAAAAGTATTTCTTTTCCTCCAGTGAGCTAATTTTTAGACATAAAAAGGCATCTTTAGAGAGAGCGTGTGTCTTGACCAGAGTGAAGAAATTTTCTTAGCCTTGTTTAGACGTGAAGGGACACTTGCATGCCCGTATTTTTCGAATGTGGAAAAACACATTCCAACCTTTCCAGTTGGCATTATTGACTTGCAGTCTTATTTTTGTTAAGCAAAGTGGTAATGTGGTGTCATAAACCGCTTTGGTTTACTGTTGTAGTGGAATTGTGGGGAAAGCAGCGCAGTGAAGTCTCTTGTGCCGCTGTTCTGCGTGGTGTGATCGATTCAGTGTTTCAGTCAAGGGGAGATTTTTGTCCTGAAATAAGTCTCTCTCCAGGTCAGGGGTGAAGGGGTGTAGTTCTCTGATGCACCTGACGAAATTCGAGGACAGTAACAGTTTAACGTCGCGACAGGAACTCGGTGTGTGGGCTCAGGCCATTGATTCCCATTAATCCACAGATTCAGTTGAGGTTATGAGCAGAACTCTTCTTTCTGCCTTATAACCGAACATTCTCTGGAGGTGAAATTCCAAGTGAGAAATCTAAAACGTGGTCAGTGCAGCGAACATTAAAATCCTGATCTCTTATTTATGTGGCTTTTTAAATTTTTATACCGCAGTGCATTAAAAACAGTGAGCAGGGAGTGTTGATCCTTGGCAGCTGCTCTGCCTTCTCAGTGATCACCGACGCTTCATCGGCTCATTAGGGAGATACAATGAGACGGGTTCCAGCCTCACACTCTAACTCGTGCTGATGGAAACCAGGATGTCGAGATGATGTGATAAATGAGCTTATGAAAGGCATAGCAAAAATGTTAACTGTTTTTACTGGCATTTGTGTGGACATACTTAGATTCACTTCTTACTGCTTTCTTGGGAAAGAACTGTCACGGCTGAAGACTCAGTTCCAGCCCTTTGTGAAGCTGCCGGAAGACAAGCAAAGAGCCCTGTATAGCACCCTTTGTGAACTCCTGCTCCAGGAAGAACTGGTGACTGCCCTGGAGGATGTGGTAAGATGAAGAAAGCTTTGCTTGCTTCCTAAAAGTAATTTCAGGATAGAGCCTGCGTTCTCTCTTGTTTGAACTTTTCTCTTTTCACGAAGTCTTGCTTGCTCTTACTTCCAGTTGGATGATATTTGCACAGGAGACAAGCCAGACCTGAAGGAGTTAAAGCCTGCACAGCAGCGAGCCCTGGCTGACTTCTTGCAGCTCTTAGGGTGCAGTTTACAGAGCGAGCTGCGGGTGCAGAAATACCAGCCTCGGGATGAAGAACTCCTCTCAGCTGCTCACCTCCTCGTCAGTGCTGTCTCTGGTATGTTGTGAGTGAAGAGAAGATCCCTTTTCCATGATTTCCCTTTCAGAAGCTCCCTCCGCGTTGAAGCGTTTGTGGCTCTTTCTGAGCAGTTGGTGAGCAGAGTGAACGCAGTTTGTTCTGTTCCTTTTTATGGGTTTCGTGTACTGTGCTTGGC